ATGGTTGAAGATGAAGCTTAGTGGCAGAGCACTTGCTTAGCATGAAAATAAGGTCTTGTATTCAAACCCTAGTACAAGAAAAATCTAATTCTGAACAGAAACATGTTCTCAGAGATCTCAGGAAGTTATTAGACCACATTACAGTTAATTTTCTTTAAACTCAAGGTGGATAGTCTCCACTTTTCTCAAACTCTCCAAATCTGTTTGTGTTAAATATACTAGAATTCTTCTGATTTTAATCAATTTCAAAGTGCTAGGTTGAGTTAATAATAACTAAAAATGAAATCTGACTCTAACCACAGACTGTCAGAATAAAAAGAACTAACATTTAGGTCAAATTATACATAAAATTAAGAACAAAGATACATGAAGGGTATTTTTTTGTACTCATCTCTTAGCACTCACTTCTTCTGAAAGATTTCCTTGGCTTTGTTGAGGTCAGCTGAACAAGCCACCAAACTGTGCTGTCCCATTTTCCCCACTGCAAAGTAAATACCACACATAAAATTGTTCCCTATCCTGCACCCCAAGAACAGTTCTCCAACAGTAATGAGTCAGCTCTTTTATAGTCCTCTGCTTATTTTCTGACAAATGGGCACAAAAATGGCAAGGGAAAAGTGAAAGGGCTTAGGGAACTGATGATGTTGGAGAAGCCACCTGCTAACTGGCATAGCCTGTGAGCAGTACTCGCAGGCCAACTGCGGGAGTTCTCAGGCTCAAATGGGCTGCTCTTCATCTTGTCAATGGGAGCTTCCTAAAGAGGATGCCTGACACTCACCAACTTGAAGAAGCCTAACTTGATTCTCAAAGCCTTCCCAGACTTCAGACTTCCACTCACCCAATTTAAACTCAGCCACAGTACACTGCTTCTGATTTTCTGAGTGGCCATTCATAAAATGCATAATAAAAGTCATTACCTCGACCCCATCTCATCCAAACACTGAAGTTTCTCTGGGCATCATCTTCCAACAGCTGAATAAGATAGTACTTGTTGTTGTTGAATTGGAGATTGGTCTATAATGAGTGAGAGAATAATGAATGTAAAAGGAGATAAAGATAGTTTAAGGAAAGAGCATTGCAAATAGTCACAGAAACCAAAGTATAGGGAAAAAACAAAAATTGAAGTATTAAAGTAGGAGTCTACTTGGGTGTGGTGGTGCATGCCTGCAATCCCAGCACTCATGAAGCTGAGGCTAGAGGAGTGCTGGGAGTTTGAGTCCAGCCTGAACTGCATACTGTAACTGTCTCAAAAAGCCAAAAACAAACATGCAAAAACAACAAAAAAGCAGGAGCTGAAAGGTTCCCTAAAGCCTTCCTCTTAACCTCAATATCAATAGTCCCGTTCAGTTTCCTCTACAGGTATTTTCTAGGTTATCTGTGTTTTCTCACTCCTAATTCATTTCCAATAATCATTTTTCAAGTGATATGAGTACAGTGCTGATGCTCCATTCTGATCTACACCTATTATGGCTTATTTGCTTAGGTGACTTCTTATTCTGATTATTCTACTTTGACCCTCTTTGTGGGTCAGCTTCAAAATATGACAATGAGCTGAGAGCAAGACAATGTTGACAGGGGACAAAGGATACACAGAATCACTGCCCTATGTGTTCCATCCCTGACCTGATCTGACTTGGGGACACTCATTCAGAATGCAATTGGTACTTGAAAAGACATCTAAGTACCCCAGTCAGAGTGGAGAGACAGGATCCATGTGTAAGGCCCTGAAGTTAGTGCTGGGAGGCTGAGCCACTGTTATCAAGTCGCTGTCCCTTCCTATCTCACCACCATTACAATCATTAGATGTTCTAACAAGGGGGATTTAAGATATTTCCTGTCTGCTCATATTTTAAGTGGAAGAAATAGTTACAAAGGAATACTAGTTAGCTGTTAAAATTATGTATGTTGAATGTTGAAGAGGCTGCGGGGAAAAAGAAACCCTTTTCCACTGCTGATGGGAATGTAGACTGCTGCAACCATTATGCATTTCAGTGTGGAGACTCCTTAAAAAACTAGGACTGGAAATTCCATTCAAACCAGCTATCCCCCTACTGGGAATTTCCCTAGAGGAACTGAAAACATCATATCAGAGTGATATATGTGTACCTATGTTTATAGCAGCACAATTTGTGATAGTCAAATCTTGGAAAGAACCAAGATGCCTGTCACATGAGGAATGGATGAAAAAGATGTGGTATTTTTATACAATGGAGTATTACTCAGCTATAAAGAATGATAAACTCGAAGGCTTTATATTTAAGTGGATGCCACTTGAAGATACACTCATAAGTGAAATAAAAACAGACCCACATGTGTAAATATCATATAGTTTCCCTAGCATAAGAAATCAAAAGAAATAAAAATAGAAAGGTATATTAAAAGGAAATTAAAAGGAAAGCAAGAACTTGAGGATTAGACAATGAAGAGAGGGCAAGGAGAAAAGCTAGGAAACATGATGGAGCAAAGCCATACATTTGTATGCACAAGATGGGCAAGGCAATGATCCTGAGAATCTTCAGCATGTTATTGAAACTAGCAGTTAATTGGCAGGATTCCCACCCTGACTAACTATATATGCTGATACCTGTGAACTAAGCAATGGCACTGAAGAAAGTAGTGTGTAATGGTAGGGTCATACTTGGAATGCTTGTCACTTTGGTCTTCTAAATACGTACTGATTGTCATGACATACCAATTACTGCCATACTGTCTCTCAAGTAAATGTTTGTTTACAAAAAGTAAAAGGGTAATAAATGAAAACAAGAGACAAGAAAAAAAATGTCACAGGACTGTCCTGCTAACATGCTGTATATGGTTAGATTTCTAAATTTCTGTGTAAAATTATGTAACTGTTTATACCTATTTTTTAAAATATTTTAATTAAAAAAATTTTTTTCTTCATATTCTGTAGGAACTCAAAGTTTAAGATATCAATACTTGATGGAAAATACCTGTTTGATGCTATGCCTAAAACGTTTGATATTTAGATAGATAGTGAGGTTAAGCTCAACTGCCTATGTTGTAAGGTAATAATAATAAGCTTCTCTTCTGGAGGGTTAACAACCTAAATTTGCAGACCAAAAATTAGAGAAAAAGAAGGGCTGCAAGGACAGCCAACATTTTGGCCCTAGCCTTTCAAGGTCAGTGAAGACTCAGAACATAGGAGAACCTATAGTGTAACAACATGTAACTCAGTTGTATCCCAGATTTTTTGATCAAGGAGATTATGGGGTCACAGAGGAAAGTGATTGATGATGTAGAGTGTGTCTAAGGAGAGTCATATGAAGAGAAAACATTCTCTCAGGCTTTCACAGACGACAAATGTGTCAAGAAATGGCCGTGACTCATCCAAATGGCTGACACTGACAAAAGACCTACAAACTGCAATACAAGGTTTCATGTTAAATTCTAAGGGGATCTAACTGATCTTTATTAGATACAAAAGTTACATTTCTTGCTATAGAGGTCTTGCTTTATCTTGGTCTCAATCATCCAGCAGAACAGTATAAAAACGAAGTATAAAAAGTAAAGCCAGGGCTGGTGAGATGGCTCAGTGGTCTAGAGCACCTACTTAGAACAAGCTAAGCCGAGCAAGGCACAGGGACCACGGTTCGATCCCCCAGTACCACATGCCAGCCAGCCCCGCCCCCTGGTGGGCTGAGCTGGCCACACACACACACACACACACACACA